CGCTACTGACGCGGTACAGGTAGCGCGGAAAAGCTAAGAAAGTTCCGTTGGGCGGTCGGTATGTTTAGGGCTAAGGCTAAGGACGATCTGATAGCTGCGACGCAGAGCTATGGCGGGGATGATGTGCCGTGCTGCAACAGCATGCATGAGGCTCAGCTGCAGGTTGCAGATCGTTTTGGTGGCCGTTGGACAGGATCCTCGCAGAAGGACAAGTCGGTGAACGAGTCATGGGTGGATCCAGAATCGAAGAATCTGGAAACGAGGAGGCGAGGCGGATGCGCGCTGCTGACTTCATAGCACGTCTAATCACGGATACGATGGAGATCCACTTGATATCACTAATTCGCGTATGCGTCGGAATAACCCCCAGCCCCGAGCTTCGACCCCATCACCCGCAGCTTCCCCAGGTGCATAGATAACAAACTTGACAGCTGAGGCCACGCGGCTTGTAGTCGCCACGATGTACGTTGGGGGGTTGTCGCATGTATTGCCAAGATGGATGAAAACGCGGTCTGGTCGATGCAAGCCTTGCGTCGGCGATGCAGCCGAGATGCTTGCAAGCTTCGGTGTTCCTGGCGGTCCGCACCCCCACGCAAAGCCGGCGGCGGTGAGGTTCTGGTGGACGCAAGCCACAGCGTTTTCAGTAGTCCCTTGAACATCCTTCACCTAGCACGCAAAAGTTGTGCACATCGCACAAAATCGCCTTACAACAGACACTACGGCGCAATTGTGGCTCCTCCAAGCTGCGAGCGGAAGCGGGAGCGCAAAGTCTGAAACCCCTGTCCGGTCTAAAAAATGGGTCTTGTGTAGAGACGCGTCAGGGCAAAAAGTTTGAATCTATTCGAGGTGTCGTGAAGTCGCCCAGATGTTGCGGCTCAATCTGGGCGTTTTGGCACGCACCACCAGCCCGCGACGTACACAACACAATGCAAGCCGCAGCCTCCTTTTGCTAACCCACGTTTCCCAAAGCACAGGCTATCAGCTTGCGAATCCCGACTCATAATCCACCATGTCTAGACCCTCCGAAAAAATAGGGGCCCTAATCCGACTTTTTTTGGCACCATGCTCAAGGTTCTACGCATGTGCCCACAAAAAGGATTGAGCTGCTGCTTTATAAATACTTGAACACCACGTCCTCTACCTTCTCTCATCCACGTATTCCTGTATTCCCATTCCAATCTTACATTCTTCACCATGCCTCCCCAAGTACCCAGAAACTTGCTGCGCGCTGCCCGCGCTCGCGCCGTTTTCCAATCCACCAGACCCTCCCGCCCTGCTGCCGTCAGGTTCCAGAGCTCCGAGGCTGTCCGCCGGACACAGGAGAGCAACAATGTCTACAACGCCCCTCCCAGAGCATTCTCCCAACGTAAAGAGGAGAAATTCACCGCTGGAACCGCTTCCACATCGCAGCGCCAGACACCAGCAGCTCCCCTAAAGCTCAACAGCAAGAATCTCTCCCAACTCCAGAATGTCACCGTCCCCACCTACCAACGTGAGGGTGTCAAGCAGGGCATCGTCCACGTCGGTGTCGGTGGTTTCCACAGGGCCCATCTCGCAGCCTACGTTGACACTCTTCTCGAGCAATTCAACGTCCAGGACTGGTCTATCTGCGGTGTTGACCTTCAGCCATTTGCTGCTCCCATGCGCGATGCCTTGAAGCCCCAAGATAACCTCTACACCATCATTGAGCGTGCTGCTGAGGGCCCCACCGCTCGTGTTTGCGGTAGTATCACCGACTACCTTTTTGCTCCCGACAGCAGCGAGGCAGTCATCGCCAAGATGGCTCACCCCGACACTCACATTGTTTCAATGACTGTCACCGAGAGTGGTTACTACATGAACGAGAACACCCACCAGCTCCAGACCGACCACCCTGATGTCGCCGCCGATCTGGCCGGTGAGCAGCCGCCACGAACCGTCTTCGGTTACCTCTACGCCGCTATGGAAAGGCGTCATGCCGCCGGTCTACGACCATTCACTGTTCTGTCTTGCGATAACATGCAGAAGAACGGTGACATTAGCCGGAACATGTTGGTCTCATTCGCTCGTCACCAGAACCCAGAGGTCGCCGACTGGATTGCCAACAACGGTGCTTTCCCCAACTCCATGGTTGACCGCATCACCCCCCGTACCAACGACGAGGACAAGGTCAGCCTCGCCGAGAACTTTGGTGTTGAGGACGCATGGCCCGTTGTCACTGAGCCCTTCCACCAGTGGGTTCTCGAGGACAAGTTTGTTGACGGTCGCCCTCCCTTCGAGAAGGCCGGTGTCCAGATCGTCCCCGACGTGCACAAAGTTGAGGAGTACGAGATGATCAAACTACGTCTCCTTAACGGCAGCCACTCCGCTATGGGATACGCCGGCCAGCTCGCAGGATTCACTTACATCCACGAAGTTATCGGACACCCTGTCTACCGCCAATTCGTCATCAACATGATGCACCAAGAAGTCAAGCCCCTTCTCCCCCAGATCCCCGGTGTCAGTGTCGACGACTACTGCAACACCCTCCTGGGCCGATTCTCCAACCCTACCCTCAAGGACGAGCTTCCCCGTATCTGCCTCGGCGGCAGTGGCAAGATTCCTCAGTTCATTATGCCTAGCATTGCTGAGCAGATTGTCGCCAATGGCCCTCTTCGCCGCCTCACCCTTGTGGCTGCTGCTTGGTTCCGCTACAACAGCGGTATCGACGACGCTGGCAAGGCCTTCAAGGTTGATGACCCCATGGTCGAGGAGCTCCAGGCTAGGGCCACAGAGGGCCCCTTGGCTCAGCTTGAGATCAAGACTCTGTTCGGTAACGACCTCCGTGACGATCAGCGTTTCGTTTCTGAGCTCAAGGCTGCATTGGAGGGCTTGGAGCGCGAAGGTGCTTTGGCCATGATTGAGAAGTACGCTTAAGTGTGCGTTAGGAGAAAAGAGATACCCCAGGGCGACAAGCGTTGCGTCGCCATACTAGACTATGTGTCTTTTGGATTGGTTTATGCGAAGCATATAGATGATAGATGTTGGGACATTTGCAGCATTGGCGTTGACCTCAAAAAGAAAGTGTTACAGCAAGCGTTTTTTGTATAGCATTTTAATCATAGCATTTGATCGTTCATGATATCTACAGATGCACTGCAATAATTGACCATCCGCGAATTAACTATTTTTTTCCCATGCGTCTAACATACTGCAGCAATTGAGCGAGCAACATCTTCCGGTCGATATGTGGGCGCCTTGCTTAACCCTCACAATGTAGGCATAACCGCGGAGACCGATGACGTCACTATGATCATCGTATCATTGTCGGTGCCACCGTGCCCAGATGCGTCGCTACATCTGCAGCCTTATCTTCACGCTACGCTTCCTCAACATGAGCTTTGTTGGTGTAGCATGCGTTATCTACTGAGGCCTGCGGCGCTCTCACCTCTCGTACAAGATCAAATTTCAAGACCAAATTCCATGCTCGTACCCACTTTCTTCGCAAAGATTACACAAATTCGCCTCTGTGGGGCAACTGCAGCGAGATGGAGTGGAGTTCGCGTACTGAGCTGCTCCCTCCAAACTGGGACGGGACCCAGAATTTTGGACCCTGTGATGAAGCGCTAATGTACAAGTCCCACTGCGCGGTCTCACTAGAATTTCTCCAGCAGATCTTGCCGCTTCTAGTTTTCTCCAGCTTGCCGAGTTGCGCCACCCAAAATACCTAGGTACATGTATTCAGCCTTCCTTTTTAGTCCTGGAATCTTGGCGCTATGCCGCGTCTGCTTCTGGGTGGTACGCTTTGTATACCTGCACGGCACCCTCAACACTTTGTACTAGCCCGAAGAAGAGGTTAAGGCCTATCGCCACCGTTGCTATCCATGAGTCGAGCCAGTGGTCGCCTCTCTTACTACCTTTCAGCGCTTTAGCAACGCCTTGGAGGTTGGCGTGGCTTCCTCGACTGCCTCCTCTAGCAGAACCAATCGATCTCGCCAGAACTGGAATCGCCTAAGACGTCTAAATGGATGTCCAGGCCAAAAATTGCCACATTGTGTTGATGGGCTGTCTACCGCCGTCTGCGTTGAGTTTGCTCGCTGCTTCCCCAACAACTATCGTCTCACCTTGCGATCTGACTCTGGAAATGACGGGGCGAGCACGTCCAACGATTCTTTGATCAGGCTGTCTGGGAAAATCGGACTATGAGACTGTACAGTAAGTATTGCTCTGTGCTGGTCTAACAATGTGTTCACACCTTTCTGTGGTTACCATCTTTCTCAAGAGTGATGCATGATGGAACACTCACAGCTTTTTGTCTTGTTCGACAAGATGCGAATGACCGAATTATCGGTCAGTATTACCTCGATGCCTGACACTCGCTCGATGTTATGACACGTGAGATCCAGATCAACGACATCATCCTTCGAATTCAGTTCAATATCAGGGGTTGACTGAAATACTCACGTACGGCATCTGGAATGAGTAGCCTTAGCTCAGAGTAAGGAATGCTTAGCGGATATCTCGGAAGAACGTGGTCCGATGCTGATCATTGTAAATATGCGAGTCGCTTACTTCAAAGAACCGTCTAACATGTCCTTCTCGTTTATCGCCGATATCTGCATCGTGAGTATCAGACGGAGCTTTTCTCTGGTTTCTCTTTTGTCAGCCACGTCTTCCAACAGGTGCGCGACCCGCAAAAGAGCAGTTCAGCCTTCTGGGACCAGAAATTGTGGAACAACTCAACTGAGTGTTCGCAGAATGATATCCCAGCATTATGCTCTTCCATTTGTATAAGCTTAGACGATCGGCAGAATCAGCGATACCAATGATCATGTTCTTTTGCGAGGAAAACGAACCGCGTAAGATGGCTAAGAAGGTTATTGATGAGGAGGGTCTTCCAAGAAAGCTCCTTGGATTTCGGACTGGACATCTTGCTAGGATACCTGACGTGAGAAAATCGATACAATCAGCAGCTGAACGCAAAAGATTGCAACAGGTGAATGAACCTGGATTGGTATCGGAAGTCTATTCAGACCATCAGGATGCCCATATTCTCCAACAACGGCGACAATGTTCTGCGGAAAGCTACAGCCAATGCTATCCTCGACCGAGGGAAAAAAGCCTACCGGTCTATCTCTCACGTAGTCTTTGGCGACACATCGTCACCACCAACAGGATTCATGGAAATCAAGAACGAAGCCGAACATCAAGAGGCAAACACAACATTATTTGCTAGTGTCAGCTCACCAGAAGAGAATCCTAACGGTCAGCCAGAATCAATAGCATACACGTCCATTTCTTCAACATATCCGCCTGAAAGCGCTCTTAGGGCAACCTCAACCCCAAAAAATCAAGGGTGTCCAGATCCGGCAAGCTTGCAGCACTTGGGCAACATGACCAGACATTCAACAGTCGGACTGGGTAGTGATCTTTGTCAATCATAATGTGGTCGCGTCTACCATCCATAAGCTTAAAAGTTTCATACAAGGTGATCACGTTGAAAGATAGCGGATCTGGTTTCCGACACTCGAAGTATTAAGATCATGGCCCAAACTGTACGCGGCTCTACTGGCGGACAATTTTGCTCTAGGGCAACGTACATGCGACTACCAAACAGTACGAGCTTCCAAAAGGTCTTCCAAACCGTGTTATATTTTGTCCTCGAATCGGTTGACTGTGGTGTTGCCATGTCAGACGCCGTAAACGGAGAGCCTTGTGGCCATATAATAGTGAGCTATCGTTTCCATGCTGTCAGACACAAGATACCTGGACATACACTCAGTTTGTTAGTGATAGTGTGCCTTCTTGCAGATGGGCATGCAGCAACAGGAATCCCCTCGGGTGCTGAGGATCCGTTGGAATCTAACTATAGCCTTGAGGCTCTTTTAGATATACAAGTTCGCGACAAAAGGACTCGGATTGTTCAGGCGATGCAAAACTAAGGATGGGGGCCTGTTGTCATAGCCAAAAACCATTGTGTCAGTCAAGCATGGTGCATTGTTTGAATCCTTGTACTACATAGATCATAAATGGTGTTTCCTGTTTTGCTGCTCCTTGCCGAATGAAGAAACGACTTGTATATTACGTGGCATCTCTACCGATCTGAATAGATGATATCCTCGCTACCATCATTCACAGTCGTCGTGACGTCTTTTTCTTATCTGAGGAGTATACCGAAACTAATATATTCACAAGAGAAGTACCTGTACCCAACAAATGCCAAAAGAACACAAAAGGGTATCACTGCGCCGATTATCGTACAAAACCTTCCCATCGTACGTGTACATCCCAAACGTCGTATAAAGATAACATCAAGATCCTACCGTGTTGTCCTACGAAGGCGTCATCTTGACGACTCCAAAACCATCGTCTTTTGGTGTCGCCCTTCCTCCGCCAACCATGAATGTCCCACTGCCCTTCTCGTCGAACCAGCGACTACTCCTATGCCAGCTAGGGAGGTTTTCAGGGTCTTCGTCCTCATTCTTGCAGCCTCTTCTGCAGCCTCCATTTTGCCGCCACTGCGTACCAGCCCACTTCATACAACGTGCGTATTCAGCGCAACGACCGGCTCTTCGTTTCTTTTGTTGCGAGAAGTCTGTGAGGGTCTGTCGTGGTGTGAGACGACGGAGAGTTATGACAGCGTGCGCACAGAGGTCGGATATAGGAAGGGGTAGATGGGTAAGAGCGAGCGCTGTCGTTTCGAGCGATTCGAGGCTGTAAAGAAGTTCGTCTGGTGCTGCAAGGAGGAACGACACTGGCTGTTGGACTGTAAGAGAGTTTGATATGAGACTCGAGGCTTTGCGCCTGAGTATGCGCCTGGGTCCGGTTTCCAGCTCTTTTCGTTGCTCAGGCTCGATAGCGGGCGTTAACGGTGTGACTGCTCTAACCATCGCATCGTCCAGTTCCTCGAGCGCTCCGATCGCGGCTCCGTCCACTTCCCACTCCAGCACTTCCTTCTCGCAGCCGGCCATGCCCATGTAGATCAAGTCTTTTAATTCCATCAGCAGCTCGAAGATCATGCGTTGTGGTACGGGTCGTTGTTCGAAGAGCGTCTGTATTGGTGGAAGGAATCTTTGCGCTATCTCGCCTCCAGTGTATAGGTTCTTTCCATGTGCAAAAGGGGCATTGTCAGCCATCTGTATTTCGATCTTTGACATTTGACGTGAGAGGCCAGCAGCAAGGTGACGGATTTGGATAAGCGGGTTTTGTGTGAGAGAACATTGAAGGGTCGAAGAGAGGTCTAATCGTTGAGAGTCAGTATATGCGCCTTTCTGGACAAACTCCATAAATCACAAATCGTTGGGCATATACCAGTAAATGCGACCTCTCCGGCAAGGGCAACGAGCGCCTCCGCGAGCTCTTTTTCCTTTTCCTTCAGTTCACGTCTTTGCGCCTGCATAGCCCGCCATGGTACGACGAAGCCAATGCTCTTTCCGACATTGTCTACTGCCTTTCCATCTGCGATCTCTTGCGTGCTATCCACGGTACTGCCCTTGTTATATTTCTTGCCCTTTTGGCCGCGAGCATCTTCTTGGTGGTACTGGAATGCGAGGAGGAGATCGTTGTTGTCTTTGGTATGGCGGATATTGCGCCATACGCTTAGGACGGCATTGGTGGAGAAGATTTGTTGATATGGCGACATGATGGTTGCGCAGACAGATAGGCTTTCACATTGCTGATACAAAGGTTGTTAAAGATGCGACCGAGTGTCGGCGTCGTGGATCTACGGCGAGATCAGGCGTAAAGGGCGCTTTGTTAGCAGGTTGGTAGGACGTGATGCGATGGAAGGAGTAGGATCCATGTTTGTCAACAGAGTTAACCGCATTAGGATGCAACACGTGGGGCCGCGTGTGAGGGGCAACGCAACTACCACGCGCGACCCGTGATAGCGTGCCAAACGCGTAGGACATGGTATTTTACTCGTAGATTTCTGTTCTCATCATGATTTCGATACTGCTCGTGTACATCGACTTCGGAATCGTGCCTTCTCCTGACTCTATAGTACATTCATATACCAACGCTCCGTCCCAATCAATCCTGAAAGATCAAACACAGCCCCAACCGATTCCGAGTATGCTGATGCGCCGAAGAACACCGAAGTATGCATCGCTGCGAACAATGACTGAACCAACTCACCTTAAACTTATTAGATCATGCCGGCCATGCCACTTGATGCATATGCCATTGGCTTAATGTTCGGATGCGCAACAGCATCGAACTGAGTGAACTTGAGCTTATACTCGGGGCCAATCTTGATGAAAGCACCTTTGTTGTGAGTGCTGTCGCAGTAGTTGGGCGCTGAGAAGACTGTGATGCAGCGTCCATCGTGTTCGACCTCGTAACCTTCCATGCGTACTTCGTGTGACCGGATGATGGCTTCAAGGCCGTTGTTCTCACAGAAGCGCTTCGTGATGTCGGGGCCGAACTGCAGACCAACACCGCGCTTGCTGGGCCCACGGCCTGGATTCGTTTGGGGATCTGTCCACAGCATTTCCATCATAAGTCCAGACTGTCCCGGTTGACGCTGCTTGAATCGGTCAAGCTTTCTTACGTCGTCTAATGTGATCTTGTCATCTGAGAACAGACCACCGTGAAGCACAAAGTACTTCTTGCCAATGAGGGTTGCCAGAGGAAGCGCGGAGAAGGACTCGGAGAACAACTTGAATACGCGCTCGGTGTACTTGGCCCTACATTCACCCTCGAAACCGTACATCCTGTTCATATCGTCCGTCTCGTGATTGCCGCGATTCAGGAAGAAGGTATTGGGGTATAGCCATTTGTAAGCGTACAGTAGAAGGGCGATTTCGGTAGACCATGAACCTCGGTCGACAAAGTCGCCGTTGAAGAGGAACGCGTGCTTTTCGGAGGGTTTGCCAGCGAGGCGGAAGATCTCCATGAGGTCGAAGAATTGGCCTAGCCTTGTCAGTATATAACGAGTCCATGAATCTTTTCCTCAACCTACCGTGGGTATCTCCACAGACTGTAATCTCCTGACCATCCGCAACATCATGCTCGACCATAGTGGGTTCTTTCTTGACAATGTCCATTACGGCGATGATGATCTGGTAGACATACTTCTTGGCCAGCTTCTTTCCGTTCTTGAACCTCTCAATCATGTCTTCGACGAACTCCAGCGTCATCTTGTCTCCCAGCTTCGCGCCATCGTATGAGGGGTCGACAGCCATGTGTTCGAGATCTAGTCCCTCCGCTGCCGATGGCGCGTCTTCAACTTCGATGGCCTTGAGGAAGGCGTCTCGCTTGACGACCTTGTCGCACTCGGCCATGCGCAGTTTCGCGTTCGCATCGTTAGGGGCTTTCTTGACGACGAGCTTCCAGTCGCGGAGTGCTTCGCGGTGCTTGAGGATGGCGGTGTTGGCTGAGGCGCGGCGGTAGTATGCCTAGTGCTGTGGTAAGCCGTCATGTCGACTAAGTGGGTTTGCGACAATGGTACCTTGACATTGTTTGGGTCCAGTTCAATCGCTGTATCGGCATCTTGTATGGCGTAGCCATATTGTTCGAGCTTGATGTATGTCTGGGAGCAGGTTAGCAGAGGCGTGTATGCAGCAGGTGAGACTTGGTACTTGTGCGCGGTTGGTGTAGAAAGAGGGCTCTGCGTTGTATGCTTCTATAGCCTTGGTATAGAACTCCAAAGCCTTGTCCCACTCCTGGTTCCTGAAGGCATTGTTGCCCTGATCCTTGAGCTTGGTCGCTTCGTCGGTCGGGGCACCCATGATGTATCGATGCGGTGCGGGACAAACTGGGGTATGCGAGGCACGCGGGTGTGGTTGCAGAAGGCGCGGCGGGCTGCTGCACCTGTTGATTGACGGGAGAGGGAAGCTGCGTCCCTGCGCAAAATACGATGACCTAACAAACAAGTGACGTACGGCGAAAAGGGAGTGAACTGTTGCCCGCACTGCCCGCCAAAAGTTATCAAGCAATTCGGTCCCGCCCTCTCGCCTCGCCTTGCCACTAACGCCTCCGCCAGCGCTTCAACCAACCAGCGACCTCGGCTCGCAACTAGACATCATGGCGCGCAAAGGTGTCGCAACGGTCAAGACGCCTAACAGAGAAGATAGGTACATGACCATCGATTCTGACGGCGAGGAGGTCACTCCCGCTGCCAGTTCTCCGAGCGATAGAACTGTTTCTCGAAAGAACAGCAGAGCAGATGAGCATCAGTACTTTGCGCATGAGCTGGAGAATGTCGATCCCGCACCCTCACGCGAGCCACTAAACCCCTCTAAAGTGGCCGAGTCAGGTCCAGAGCCAGAGCGCCGACAGCCTCGCCAAGCTTCCGGAACCGTAGAACAAAGTAGGACACTTGCGAACGCACTGTTTCCTGCCAGCTTCAACAACGCCGTCCTTCCTTCTGTCGAAGCGTCCGAGTTGCCCACGTCCCTATCCGCCCACCAAACTCCGCATCGGCATCAAGAGCCCGTACAGCAGCCCCGTTCTCGACTTCAGAAATCTGCTACGCCTTCGCGCGCTGCTGGTCGAGGTCGCGTCACCGCTTCTACAGACGCCAGTGTCTCCAGTCCCATTCGCCATCTCGGTCTCACCCCCGAGAACCGCCACCAAACAGGTCAAAACCCGCATCCCAGCCTTCCGTCCTACATCGACAACCCCAACTACTTTGACATGGCACAAGACATGATTCAGGGCGGCGCGTACATCGCGCCTGGCCAGCAGCGCAACATGCGCGCCTGCATGGTCTGCTCCATCGTCCGGACTCAGAACCAGTTTCTCACCCAAGGCTGCCCGAATTGCGAAGAGATTCTCGAACTCGCCGGCAACCCTGAGCAGATCAACGATTGCACATCGCAAGTCTTTGAAGGCCTCATTACGGTTGCCGACACCTCAAGGAGTTGGGTAGCTAGATACCAGCGCCTTGAGGGCTACAAGCCAGGTGTCTACGCGACCCAGGTTGAAGGCATTCTCCCAGACGACGTGATTGGCCTGGTGGAGAGTGCAGGCATCAACTACGTGCCTAGGGATGGTAGCGAGCAGGATATGCTACCAAAGGACTAAAAGTGGAGAAGCGAAGAGGAGGACCAGACACACATATGACTGGGCAGAGGAATACAAGGGAGAGGAATACTTGCATTGCATATTCAGCGCTGGAGTTATGGTAAAAGTGCATCCACGGGTGCCTCAACAAGACGATACAACAGCTCGAAGAATCGATTTCATTACACATGGAGCTCACAACATCGCCGGTACTCTTGTGCTTTTGTCTGATGATATACGTGTCTTGTCGTGGCACGGCTGGCAGGATCTGCGTCCTGCACTCGAAGCAGGATGCCATCATGTTTAATCCACAATACAAGAGAGTTAGATAAGCAACTCCTTCACATACGACCATAGTTTCAAGACTATAGCGCTTCCCGTTCGCTCAGCGGTACTCAAGCTTGTAAACGGCGGATTAGTAGTCAGGTGGGTGACCACTGGCGAATCCCCGCTGTTGTATGTTTTTGTCCGTTTGTTTTTGCTTGCTCAGGTCTTGAGCTTTCACATACGAAGCATAATCACATTTCTGCTGTCCTTTTGCATGCAGAGAGGCTGGTTGGTGGTAATACTGCATGCATCATGTCGATAATTTGCGTGATTGGGCGCTGGAACTCGCCAGCAAAGGAACATACAAACCAGCACGGGCGCATTGTCTTCGCTAGTTGAGTCGTTATAAGACAGATCAAAAGATTGCAGATATCCGTCAGTATTCTTCTTGTTCTCAGAGACGCTATGTTCAGCGCATCATCTGACTATCACACTGACTGTCCACTGCTCTCCAGCCAAACAACACTTCTCGGACTACCCACACCCATATCCCCAATTCCTACTGTACTACTTCTGACATCTGAAACGACCACAACGTTTTCTCCATAGCTCAGATAATCGGTCTCGCAATTCAATATATCCGCCTCCACGATCCCCGACTTTCCCTTTTCCTCTTCTTTAGGCTTGATCTTCGCCCGTATGTCCACATTTGGCAATAGCGTATTCCCAGGCTTGAGCGGAATGAGCATGATCGGCCATTCATGCTCTTCATCTTCCTTTGCGGTGAAGTGCGCGCGTCGTTGGCCGGCAACGAGCCATACTTCAGGGTTTGCATCGATGGTGTAAACGAAATCTATGGGCTCGCTGACTTCAGTAAGGTTTGCAGCGGAGAGTAGACTGGATGGTGAGGCCCAGCGGCGCGTATGCGAGATACGTAAGGTGGTCATGAGAGGCTGACCAACTGTTGCAATAACGGAGTCTAAAGACGAAGAGGGTGAGTTGGAAGACAGTGATGCGGTGTGTAGGATGTGGGTCTGAGGAATCGAAACTGTGATAACCATCCGACGGGGTGGGTTTGGCGATGGCGGAGCGATCGCATGTGGCGTCGTGTCTGACACATCATCCTTGGTGAGCAGAATAGTCCTATGCTTCTGTAGGGATGTTAGCATATACTATCGTATAATAGGAACCACTGCTTACTTCATGCCACTTCTGCAACCAGATCTGCGTATCATCACGAATGATGAGCGGCAGACTTTCCAGACAGTCTGCCCAGCCAACGTCCTCGAATGCACCTAGGTCGAGTCTTTGCAGCAACGCAATCTTTTCGTACTGGTGTGGAAGGATGTCTTGCTCCAACCGACTGGCGAATGTATCGGTAAGCAAACGAGCCAGCCGGTGCACTGGGCTTTCTTCGACAGCATCAGTGAACATCTTTCGCACTCGGTCGAGAACATCTTCATTCAAGCATCGGTACTCAACAGTCAAGGATAGGCTACCCGTGGTAGAGATTCGGCTTTGTCGCTTTTTCGCAGCGTCCGTTGCCTTCTTAGTAACCTTGTACGTAACCGCGACAGGCTGCTTCGGAAACACATGTACGGACTCCTTCGGACGCCTAGGCGCGTGGACATCGAACTCTTCAGACCCATCTAATGTAACATCCAGGAGCTCCAATGGCACATGGTTGGCGGTTTTGATGTTAAACTTCGAGAACAATGACTTGCTTTTGAAGTGGTCATGGACATTGACGTCCAGAGGCAACTCGACGGGAATGACGAAGGTTGAGGTGTACTGGAATTGGCCTTCATCCGTGAAGTAGTCAACGTCTATCTTGACTGTAAGGTCTTGCAATATCGTCTCCATATCGTAGGGCACTTTCAATGTCGCTGTGGAATTTGCCGGCATGCCACCAACAGCGATAACTCCTGGTGTCGGCTTGCTCTCATCAATCGTGATCTCTCCGGCGGCCACACTTGAATTTGCTGTCCGTAGTCGTAAACCTGCTGAGGCAGACTTGAGTCGAACCTCTGCACGTGTCACCTCATTCCAGCCAGTCGAGCACTCGACCTCTATGTGTCGCGGCTTGTCGATATGGATGAAATGCGAGAGATATATCCTGGCTTGGAACGCTTCACTACGCGGGAAGCATAGAATTCGGGCTTTCTTCGCCGCTTTGAGAGAATGCGCAGAGACCGAAGTAATGATGCCAAGGGGTGTGGTTGCCTCAGCTTTCTGAAAAGGCTCGTGTACAAAGACGATGCGTTTTGCTTCCAGGACGACCCTGTCAACCATGTACGGTCCAGTCGTGTTCACATTGCAGCCGATCCACATGCGATTCAACCCTCTCTTCAACTGTATAGCTCCAGTCTCTTCAAGCCATATATCCTTGGCTTGATTTGAAACTGCACTGACGAGGCGAATCTTGGCTGCCCGGATTTCGATCTCATCCTCAAGGTGGTGTCTAAACTGGAGGCGTAACTGGAAGCCATCTTTGTCATCGTAGTGGCGAACGTAGGGTTCTACGGAGATATCGCCAAAATACTTCGGCATCTGGACGGTAACATCGTACGGTAGCTGCTGCGAATAGCTGATGAGCTCGTGAAACACATCAGTAGTATCCACTTTATCATCGTTGAGCCAGTCGCGAGGCATATCATCTGCATCGGTCGTGCTGGCTCGCTTGACCGAATTCTTGAACGCCATCCGGCTCGCTGCCGACTTGGCTAGAAGATCAAGTAGTGTTCGAACATATTCGTCCTTGCGATTGAGCTTCTTTAAGCAGCGTGCGTGCATCTTGAGCATGGTTGTCTCGACCGTGTTCCATCTGCTTTCTGCGAAGTACGACGCCATACGCCCGAAGTACATAGCAGCTGCCGCAAAATCACCAAGCTCGCTATAATAAAGTAAGCATCTAACACGCTAAACCTCAAGGGCCAGAAAACATACAATCTAAGTGCAGCTAGGTCTCCAAGTACACTTTCTGCTGACTTAGTCTGACCTGCAGCCATGTAGTGCTTGACAATTAGATCGCTCAAGGTCTGTAAAGATTAGTAAGTATGTCTAATATTGCGATATCTTTACCGACCTCGTAAAACTGTCGGAATTGCCTGATCGATAGCATTGCGGTGACTAGTGCTCCAGCAGATATGCCAAGGCGTGACTTCGAGGTTTCGGTGTTCGGTTCGGTGTTTGATTCGTCCTGCTTCAGCTCACTCTCCTCTTCCTCTTCGTCTTCCAAATTGACGTCAGCTAGCTCTTCTTTCGCATTCAGAGACACCAAGATAGCATTCCAGCCTATGTTCCAACCCATGCTCTTGCCTGCGTGCTCGAGCAGGCGTCGCTGAATAGCAAGCAGTTGTGCTCTAGTACCGGCCAGTTCTTGCAAGCCGTTCTTCGCAGAAGGAATCGCACTTTGTTGGTTCGGCGGTGGTCGATCGTGATATTGTCCGTTCTCGAACACAACCTGTGCATTTGCCGCAGGTTGTGCATATGGCATGTCTGACGCAGGTCGTCCATGGTTGAGAGATGTTGACCGAGATGGATGGATCATTGACTTGGGCTCTGAGACCTTCATCTTTTGTTCTTTGTTGCGGCCGCCGAACGAAAGACTCTTGCCTGAAGAACCGGTTGATGGATCTCTAGAGAACCTAGTAAATGGAAGTGAGCCTGTAGAGGTTTCGCGCAGCACTTGGTCCAGCGCAGCGAATGTCCACGAACGAACAACGTTCTCAATTAGATTGTCGGGCAATGTGGTATCGTGAGCTTTCGCGCTAAACTCATGAGTAAGTACTTCGAATCGGCGGACGTGAACTAAACTTACCCATTGATCAGGTCATCTCGCAAGAGCCGTCCGGCAAAAGTGATAAAGTTCAGTGCGCGAGAGCAGAGTTCAGCCAGAGAAAAAAGATCTTCCGAATCATTGACTTGACCCCCCGACTTCATACCAATAGCGCTGTCGTCAGTCGATCGCTGAATTATGCTGGCATTTGGTCGAGGTTGTAGTTTAGCTGCGAGGTCAGAACGTGCTGAGACGGAATTTCCGAGTCTTAACAGCAAGAACATCTGGCGAGCGAAGATGTACAGCCTGAAGTCGAAGATTGAGATGTTGTTCGCGAGGATGAGACCGCGGTAGTCTTTCTTTAGCGCGTTGATTGGCCTATCGTCGTGTATGGCCGATGCTGATTCGTCCTTCCCATCCTGTTGCGCGATCTCGGCCGCTATCTGATACAGATCATCTGAGTGGCTGAGTAAAACACTTCCTTGTGCATTCTCACTTGACTGATCACGTATAACGCTGTCTAGACCGATAGAAAGCTCGTCATATCCGAGCAGAGCATCTTCGACTAGGCCTACGCTTTCGAAGCCTCTTGCCAAACCTTCCTTTAAGATGAAGAACGTGTTGAAATTCCAGCCAGGAAATGAGCGCTGGGCGTCATTCTTCCGGATGTCCTCTTCGTACTGACTTACCCGGAGGTCAAACGAGAGGAGTATCAACATCTTGAACTTAGCTATGACATCGGCCCAGGCACGCTCTTGTTCCTGAGGGCTCTCAGTGATAGGTGGTGATGTGACAGGCGCTGCAGCTGGAAGCATGTGCTGTGGAACTCTTTCTTTTGGCACCCGTATCTGAGCTACGCGATCAGGTGCCGATTTTGAGGAGACATTGAAGTCTGCGCGAAGCTTTTCGAGTAGGGTCGTCGTCCCGCGCGTCCATCTAGAAGCTGCCCCAGTCTTCTCCTTCTCGCCAGTCATGGTATTTGAAGACCCACGAGGCTGACTTGCTGCTGGCGTCTCAGGTACGACCACATGTAGAATCAACCATTCGTATGCATCGTGGTTCTCCTGAGTGTTCGCCGTACTGCTTTGAGAAGGTGGTGTGTGTTCTTTCACCCACTCGCGGACTTGCTTCCGTGCAGTCGCCTTATAAGTCTCTGAATCGTCACATCTCAGAAGATAGATCTTTAGATAAGGAGTTTGACGCAGTCCTGGGATTTGATGTCGCCGCTCTTTCTCTTTGTTAGGTGCTCTGAAAATCTCATCCATATTCCTATTAGGCGTACCTTGACCAGGTGCTGAAGCTGACGAGGCCGCACTTGCAGCTTGTGCTGACTCTTTACTGGGCACAAGGTCAACATGCAGAGAATCGATGGATCTCAGTGGCCGTGTAGGAGCTTTCCAGTGCAAGTTACGAAGGGGCAGGCGCGCAGCCAAGTCCTCTTGTATCAACGAAAAGACTCCAGAAGGGTCATGGTACTCGACTGCGAAGCATAAGCATAGGGGTGGTAAATTTACAGGGGTGCATACCCGTCACTTTGGAGCTTGATAGCCCGTCCATCACCGTAGGTTCAACTTGAGTTTGCCTAGAACCATCCTCTGTGGCACCCAGGGCTGGCGCACCATTTCCAGCCACACTCATGAAACGTGCACGATGAGGAATACGGTATGACGGCGGATTATGTGATTGATGACGTTTGTTCGAGTGCGCGGGTATTGATGCCGTCGCGAGACGAACGTTGCGCTTTGGGTGGCTTCACCGCTAGGCGTGACTAACCCAAATTCGGCGAAGACCCGCTCAGGCGTTGAGGTCTCCGCCACATCACGTGTGGTCGTCTCTTCTATGGCCGTTGTGCGAGCCTCTCAATCCATCACCGGTCAGCAGCGATTTTTCTCGCTTCACCCTGCCACCAGTGGATGAACACGCTCGTTCAGCCCTGCGCTATGCCTTGTGAGCTCGTGATGCGGCATTTGAGCGCCCCGTGAGTTTTCGCATTCTTCGCATTCGTCTTTCCGTGAGGGGTCTGACATATGCGCCTCTATTGTGCACCGTCGTAGGTCCCATGCGATAAATGTTAGGCAGTATTCGATATCAGAAAGAGAGCAATATGTTATCAACTCTGTTCGGGTCTTCCTAAGCCTTATTTCGCATGCTTCTTGTTTCTTGGGACGCAACATTTGACTCCCATCTTTCAGCTGTCGCACTCACTGGACTTCACTTTCTATATCTATTGAACAAAACCATCAGCTCTCAAGATGGGCATGGGAGATTATTCACCTGGCAGTGTCTGGTATTACGCACCAAACAAAGCAGCGCCAATCGTCTTCATCGTCGTCTTCTTTGTCTCTGGAGCGCTACATGCCTGGCAGACAATGTAAATACTTCGGTTTCTGCTGATTCATTATACTGACTTTTCCTAGCAAGCACAAGTCATGGCGAACAACACTATTACTTCCATGGGCCGCTCTCTTGATGATTAGCGGCTTCGCAGTGCGACTCGCTGGTGCCTATGACACTGACAATCTAGCTTATCTCATAGCTTCAACTGTACTGATTATGTCTGGACCTCCAGTGTACGCCCTCATAAACTACTTCATACTGTCACGGCTCCTCTATTACATTCCATACCTGGCGCCTCTTCACCCGGGACGTGTAGCAACAACTTTCATAGGTCTCGATGGCGTGTGTGAGATCCTTATCGGACAAGGTGCCTGGCGCATGGCCGACTCCAGCTCTACAGAAGCAGAACGGAAGCTCGGCTCAGACCTTGTCACCGCGTCGCTGTGTCTTCAAGCAGCACTCTTCGGTGCTTTTGGGCTTCTCGCAGCACAGTTCCACCGACGTGCTAACAAGGCCGGAATACTCAAGAAGGATCTACGAGTTGTACTCTACGTCATGTACGTGAGTGCCTCTATTGTTACTATTCGTTGCATTTACCGCCTCGTCGAATACATTCTCGGCTGGGAATCCTCTATCTATCAGAACGAAATCTACTTTTGGATCTTCGAAGCTGTCATCATGGCACTCAATACTGCTCTACTCAATATCTTTCACCCTGGAAAGCGCTTGCCTCCTTCCAACACCGTTTTCCTGGCTCGCGATGGCGTAACTGAACGAAAAGGGCCCGGCTGGGGTGATGATAGGCCGTGGATCATTACCATCTTCGATCCCTTTGACCTTTGGGGCTTGGTTAAGGGGAAGGATAAGAAGACGCAGTTCTGGGATATGAGTGATGCAGAGTTAGAAGCAGCGAGAGCAGAGAAGAAAAAGAGGAAGAGGGGTGTGCTTAAGGGCTTGTTGGATCCTTTCCACCTTTGGGGTGAGCAAGGATACATTAGCAAGTACTTTAAGAAAGACCTGAATAGCGGGTCAAGGAGCAACGAGGTCGGGACCCAGCACATACACGCCGGACGATTGAGGTACAATGGTAATGATACGCACGATACTGTTTGATAGGTGTACGAGGTTCTCAGAAGTTAGGGACTCTCTTCTTTTCTACTTTTTGTGCCCTCTTTCATCCGGGTCTATCCTTTCCTTTCCTTCCATTCTCCTTGTGTAGTCTCCTAATCTTTAGTATGCTCTGCTATTGAAACAAACATGGACAGTATCTCATAGAGCAACCAGTCACACGACCGTAGGCGCTCTCGTTCAATCCTCCCATGACCAGACAAAGTCTATACTGCCTCAGCTATGATTGGCTCCGCATGACATGCCACTGGTATCTGAACGCCTATGTTTCCTTTGTTCTTGTCTTCTTTGTCATCACCAACAGGCTACGCTACAGATGGGGCAGGCTATGTGGAGCACCATGTGGAGCAGAAGGATGGCTTTACGACCGCATTCAAAAGTCAAGATCTCAACAAGCACAACCTAGACAGCAGGCAAACAGCGTCGTACATGCACTCCATGTGAACCCGGCCCCACCGATGCAACATTCACAACCGTGGCAACCGAGCAGGGAAATAGAGGAATTATTGGAGGAATCGTTTACGTCGTCAATGTCAGGGTTACATGCTGATTTGGGGAGGCGTGATCAAATTGAAGGTTCAAGTAATGGGTATGACTGAGTGGTGAGTTGGCTTGGGTAGAGGGACAGAATGCGGCGGGTATGGCCACTTTTGGCAGTCATCTAGTACGGGCTCAAGCCAAGAAGAACGCTTACAAAATCAGTAATACGGTGGCAACTGTACGCAGACTGAGTTATTGGTGGAAATAATTAACGATGATTTGAGCGGTCCAGATCTTTATGCAGGTGACGATGCGCAGCTATCGACTTAGTGATTTCCAGGCGATGAAACTATTACGCGGCAAGCACCACGCGTCCTGGTAGGCGTCGTCACCATCCAGCCTGACGCTGCAGCATTACAATCACCAGTGCATTTCAAGAACAGACGAATCGCTGGAAAAATATTAACGTTAAAGTATTCATCATATATGCTATTTACTCTTATAGACGCCATACCTAACTCCAGGTAGGTTGGTTAATATGCAAGTCCCCCTGGAAATTGAGAGGTTGTGATTCCATGCCACTCTTGAGAACGCCAATAATGCACGTATGCATGTGAAAGAAAAGTTCATTAAGCTGGACAGGTATTAGGAAAATTGTGATCTACACATCAAAAGCCGTTGAAGCCCATCAGAATACCTGCGCCAGCGATCGCTGCACCGCCAATCCAGGGGTTTGCAGTTGCAACAGGCATGGCAGCGGCAGTGGAAGTTTCAATTCCACCGCCACCACCTGTGACACTAGGGCCATTGACTCGGGGTCCACCAGTGCCGACTGCTGCAGTTGATACCGCACCAGCAACACCGGTTGCGTTGGGCACACCGTCAGAGCCTTCCCGGATTTCCTGAATATTCTCAGAGGTAGCGTTAAAGTTGGTCTGGGCGAGAGAAATTTCGTTGTTCTCAAGGTCGTAGACGACATATGCAGATCGTAGGAAGGTGTCACCAAGAACAGCGACAGATTGTCCGGCAGGTCCGATACCAAGGATGCAGACGGGTCGTCCGCGGCTAACAGCAGCAACTATGACAAGCTCGTTGAGCGGGACGGAGATCTGGACACCAGAGAAGTTGAACTCGAGAGAGCCTTGCTGGTTTGCAAGATCACAGTCAACAAAGGCAGCCCCCTGCGAAGCGTCGTACTGAGCGTCAAAGGTTTGGTATAGCGAGCTCGCGACGTTATCGGGCAAGTACATCAACGAAGACCCAGAGTCGAGCAAGACGGGCACGTTTGAGTTCTCGAAGATGGAGCCATTCTTGCCATCGCGGCCCATTCCAGTCAGGGCAATTATAAACTCAGCATATTGTCCTCGCTCTGGGATGATAGGTAGTGTCTGAAGCTCGCCCTGGTACTTGTCCGTGTCCACGCCACCGAAGAGAATGTTTCCAGTAGATGCGTCCAAATCGTTCAGCCACAGAGAGTATGCGTTTGAGTTGATGGTACCATCGTCCTTCAGCTTCTGAGGCAAGTTTGGGTATGGGTCCAGTCCTGCGCGGCCTACAGCGACCTCGTTGATGGTGTAACCGATTCCAAGGATGCCCTCTGGTGAGCTTGATACGTAGCCGATACCAAACTGCAGATCCTTTATTGTTTGTCCGCCGAGGCGGAAAGTGTCTGTCGCATAGTCTCCCGATGCGCCTGATCCATCCATGTATGATATGTTGAAAGCATCGTTGACGTAGTTGTATGTTGACGAGTCGTTTGCGTTGTATGTGCCAGATTGGCCGCACTGGTTGCCGCCTTGGCTGCACAGATTCGAGTTGACCGAGTTGACCCAAAGATCGCTGCTACCTGTGTCGATGTGTAACCGGAAGTTTTGCTCAGGAGTACCTAAGCTTGCGTTGGCGAAGTAGAGCGTCTCGAGATTGTCCAGTGTCTCCTGGACAACCTTTTGCCGTCTTCGTAGCTGGTCGTGTGCGACGGGGTTGACGATGTTCCGGCGCTGAGTATCTAGGCGCACCACTCGCGGATTCTAGGTGTACATTAGTATGATGGCTCGCAGAGACGCGTCTATACGCTTGTATGGGAGGACTTCGGGAGGATCTCGCTTCGGACTGAAATGCTGGGGATGCCAAGAGCCGCACTTACCTCTCGTGGTGCAAGCCTCACTGCCGCGGCCGACGACGCCAATTGCGCCGCCAGGAATGTCGAGTACTTCATGATGTTGTTCCTGGAAATGCGATGCTAGGGCTGTGCGGTGGATGTATACCACGGATTACAAACAGTCTCTGGTGTGGCTTGGTAAAACCTGACGCGCGAGTGGTCGGAGCTGAGAGAAGGCAGCTATGAATCGTGTTTGAGACTGCAGTTGAAGTCGCAGAGAGCGAAGCGTTGTACAAGCACACGAGAATAGTGGACAACAGGGAAACAATAGCAACAGGGAAAGGACGACTGGAGAGCGACTAGGGATAAAGCCAATATGTAGCAGAGGCGCAGGCGGGTAGGCTCTAGTCGGCGAAGGGGGCGTTCGAGCCTTGTGATGACGACGCGTATGATGAGGTCAAGTCTGGAATTGTTACGGATCCTGTGGCCCTTAGTGCAGCTGCCCACGTAACGAACATGGGCAGCCGCCGACATTTCCGGGGCTAAAAGCCTGCAGCCAACAGGACTTGTGTGTGCCCTGATGGAAGATCCGCAGGGCGTGGCGGTGCCTCTATTACGAGACGATTCGCCTTGACGCCGCTTCCATGGCCCAGCCAAGCGCTTGGTGCCGATCTGACAAGCCTTGCCGCTGTGTCGCATGCGCCCTGTCAGTACATAGTAGGCGAATATGGCGCAAACAGTATCAACACCGCAAAACATTCATAGCCTCATGAGAAAACGTCGGGAAATGCTGCTTCACAATAGCTACCTCGTGGTATTTGAGTTTGTATTGTAGGCTGCGCGTTCGGCCGGGCTTCCGTCAGCCGCGTACGTCACATGGTCTACCACAGTGTCTTGACGCCGTCGTTCATCGAAAGGCTACTGAAAGATGCGATGCATAATCCAGTAGCCTAGCGGCCGGTGAGTCCCCAGATGGTATCCCCAGGCGCCCGGAGTCAAGAGATACCGCGTGGTCAAGAGACGCCTGAAAGCGCTGTGCCTCTCGAGAAAAAAGACGTTTGAGGCTGAAACCTGACGCCCCTGCAGGAACCGGTACCTGGGATCGTATTTATGTGGCGTAGCATCGTCGTCGGTAGCGAAGAGCCCCGAGAAGTAATTATCTCGGTCCCTACGTAAAGAAAAAAAAAAGCCGATGAGCCATGATGAACTCTCGCTCTCTATTGGTACTCGACATGAGAAAAGTATGTCGCTGTAAGTCGGTCGTACTACTTACGATTCCTGCAAGGGTGACGTCGCATCCGCGCACGCACATCGCCCTATCTTTAGTGTGAAAGGCTTGATGGGCTGCGGGTCGATCCTCGCTGCACGTGAGCACTAGTCCCAAGAAGGACGACCCGTGAAAGCGCGTTTGCAGAGCATCGCGTGTTTCGCGTCACCCCTCCAGACCAACACTCACAGCCCAAAATGTCCAAAGCCGAATCTTCCAAAGCAGCTGCCAGCAATGGTGTCAAACCAAATCCCAACGCTGCTGGTGGTGCTAACTATGAACTGCCATGGTAATTGACTACCCGCGCCCTTCGCAGCTCATCCAAACTAACAGGCACCTAGGGTAGAGAAATACCGTCCCGTCTACCTCGATGATGTTGTCGGCAACACTGAAACCATTGAACGCCTCAAGATCATTGCCAAAGACGGTAACATGCCACATATGATCATCTCTGGCATGCCTGGTATCGGCAAAACCACGTCCATCCTCTGTCTCGCACGCCAGCTCCTCGGTGACGCCTACAAAGAGGCTGTTCTCGAACTCAACGCCTCTGACGAGCGTGGTATCGACGTCGTACGCAACAGGATAAAGGGCTTCGCGCAGAAGAAAGTCACACTTGCACCAGGCAGGCAAAAGCTCGTCATTCTGGACGAGGCGGATAGCATGACCAGCGGTGCGCAGCAAGCCCTGAGGAGGACAATGGAGATCTACAGTGCAACAACACGGTTTGCATTCGCTTGCAACCAGTCGAACAAGATCATTGAGCCGCTGCAGTCGAGATGTGCCATACTCAGATACGCTCGCCTTACCGATGCGCAAGTCGTGCGCCGCGTTATGCAGATCTGCGAGGCCGAGGACGTAAAGTATTCAGACGATGGGATTGCGGCACTCGTCTTCTCCGCTGAGGGAGATATGCGACAAGCTATCAACAACCTACAGTCGACATTCGCTGGTTTCGGCTTTGTAAACGGCGACAATGTCTTCAGAGTGGTCGACAGCCCGCATCCCATCAAAGTGCAAGCCATGATCAAGGCGTGCCACGAGCAGCGCATCGATGATGCCTTGGCGTCGTTGAAAGAGCTCTGGGATTTAGGATATTCATGCCACGATATTATCAGCACAATGTTCAAAGTTACTAAGACCATTGATACGCTGAGTGAGCACGCGAAGTTGGAGTTCATCAAGGTAATTGCTGTTAACTCAGACGAAATACAATGGCTGATGGGGAACAGGAAATTGGCTTCACCCACATGCGCATCCTTGAAGGCGTGCAAACACTTCTACAGCTATCCGGCTGCGTTGCGCGCTTGTGCAAGATCAACATGCAGCCGCAATTGTTCGCCCTCCCCACGACGTCGAAGTAAAACAACTCCTTTGGAGCATCTGCAGCATTTAGCATGGAGTTTGGCGTTCACATGTGGCCAAACATGGGCCTATCCTAACGCATCATGGTATACACGCTATCTGAGAACTTCTAATTGTAGTCCTGTCTCGTCGCCCGCCTCCATGCCTTGTGACTTTTTTCAGTCCCTTTCGCCGAGTCTGGTTGTCTTTTACCGGAGATATTGCACACACGTTCGTGTGCTTGCCTACATGCTGCAAGATTGCAACAGAACCTTCTCAGCATGTTTGACACAAATTTGCTCTGTTTCGTCTATATGCAGTTTTTATCTGCAAGCGAGCAACTACCCGGGCCTACACTACTATTTTACTCACACATAGAAACTACAGCTCGTCAACCGTGCCCACAATCATGTCTCAACTGCGCCAGAAGCTAACTATCGTCGTATAGTATACCTTGCCCATCGCCCGTGACCTACTAGCAAAAACTCCTGTTTCGAATTCTTCACAAACATTATCGTGGTTGTTGTAGCAACCCGTTTGGCACGGTTGCTGACCCAGCCTTCGAAGCAGAAGAAGCGACCCGCTGCCATCACAACAACGCACACTGCCGCCACCAGCGCAGGTCAATTGACTCCACAAGGTGAAACCGATAAGCTGAACTGCGGGCATAGAACCTTAATCTGATAGATTCTTCCCTCGACAGCACGCACCAGGATATCTTGCGACAGGACTTGAGCATTAATTTCAACAACTCTGAGCCTGAAGAGTGGAATTCAGACTACCATGCATTACAATATCTGATACAGGTATAGCGAAGGCTTTTAGCGACGCGGACTAGAGTCCATCTAGACAGGGTAATCGCATCTAAACGTGAAGACTGCTATGGTTCAGTGTTCGCGAAGGGAGAGCACAGTGTGGATAATGGGATCCGATGTCGGAAAAACGTTGTGGAATTGATGGCCAAGACTACAAGGTGCACTGATTAGTACGATGTGTTCTGCACCCGTGTACCATCCCATGTTGGAGGCAAGGTAAGCTGTGGAGGAGAGGCCCGGGGCGAGATCAGGAGACTAGCGTACTTCGGCTTCGACATCCGTGGGGTACTTCACATTTAGGGACCCCACTGTGCAATGCGACTCGGATCAAGAATAAAGCCTCAGACAAATAAATTGTCGAAGAAGTACGTGGTAGGCCCTGACTCGGAGAAGCAGATACTCACAATATTCCTTTTCCTATACACTGTTCCTGCTTGAATCTCACAATTTGCAACTTACCATGGCTTCTTCAATCGCCCCCAACAACCTCCTCAGTAATGCAGCGCAATCGAGGATATGCACCGCATTTGGTATCAAGATAACGCCGGATACATCGATAGTACACATTGCCAAAGCAGCTGGCTATGACTCGTTGTTCATCGACCTGGAGCATACAGCCATGACAATCAAAGATGCCAATCAACTATGCATCACAGCAAACTCAGCTGGGATCACGCCCTTCGTTCGCGTGCCACACCAGTGCGGTAATGGGTTCGTACAACGGGTCTTGGATGTTGGAGCCATGGGTATCATTGTTCCACATATTCACACAGTCGGCAGGTCTCCCTCATTACCGCTGACCCTTTGGCTAGAATTCCGCTAGAATCATCTTTCTGGTACCGAATATGGCTGACAAATATGATGTTAACAGATGATGCTCTCCGCGCGATAAACATCTCTAAATATCCTCCCATGGGCAAACGATCAATCAGCGCCGGCTTCCCTCACTTCGAATTCGCTCCCGTACCTACCACCACCATGACTGCGCAGATGAACACAACCGGCTCTACTGTCTTCATTATGATAGAGACGGCGGACGCTCTTGCAGCTGTCGACGATATCGCCGCGCTAGCAGGCGCCGATGTACTCCTCGTCGGCTCCAACGACCTAGCTTCAGAAATCGGAACTCTGGGCGATTGGGACGCACCATGCTTCCTAGCCGCGCTGGAAAAGGTGGGTGCAGCTGCGAGAAAACATGGCAAGATTATGGGTATTGCAGGATTGTACCATAGGCCAGATATATTGGAGCGCGTGATCAATGAGTTCGGCGCAAAGTGGGTAGTGGGTGCTCAGGATGTTGGGCTCTTGTTGCAAGGCGGAACAGCAAACTCTGCTTTATTAAGAAGTTTACAAAAGTAAAGCAAAAATGGTTTATTCCTTCATCTTTTTTGGTTCTCCCTCCAGAGATCTTTTGTATCTGCTCATTGATTGCGGGGGATTTGTCGCTCGAATTCCTCCCAATCTATCTCGTCGGCCCCTGTCAGCATGAAGTCGTTACCAAAATCGAGGTTGAAATCGCCGATGTCGTCAATAGAGGGTATATCGTACGATTCGTTGTCGAATCCCAGACTGTTTGAGAAGCGACTAGTATGATCCGGCAGTTCGAAGAGAGCTTGCCGCCAATTAGTGGCTAAGGTAGGCTCTTGGTACGTATCTGCTGCGTGTGACTTGTTGGACATCGTCGTATCTTCCGCAGACGGTAGACGATCACATAAGGCTCCATGATCTAAATTATCCGATGGCCCTTCAGCAGCAGCAGCAGCAGGACTTCCGGCAATAGTGGGAACACTAATTCCAATACCGAGGTGCTGACAGATATGCTCAACATCTAACATGCGTTTCGCAGCAGCTTTGTTGCCATGCTTGGTGAGGTATTGAAGTATGCTTGTCGCACTTCGGATGCCATGGAGTCCTGAGCGAGGTGATCCAACAGACTGAAGGCTTTCAACAAGTATGAAAATAAAAGCGGCCGAGATTGCTGCATCCAAATCGAAATATCCGAATTTAGCTAGCAACTCCTGTTGCTTGAGCGAGAGTAGAACATCCAAAGTCATACCTGCAGCTTCTATACACGTCGCTGCAAGCACGTGCAAAGTGGAAGATGCGGTGCTTGAAAGGTCTGTGTCGTTACCTTGAAGCTTCGATTTAGCGAGATGGAGGAGAATTGGTCTTGTTGTCAGTATAATAGCCTATAGAACCTGTCAGCGTGCTCCGGATGTACTCAGACGTCTATTACCTGGAATAGCATCAGATACAGTGTCGCACCCGTCCTTGTAATGGTAAAAGCTTTCGAAAATTCTAATGGAAACTCAGCTGCAAGGTCTCTTCTCACTGACTTAAGCTCTCCAAGGAGATCGTGTACAGTGCGCAGGAATTGTCCTTCAGATCTTCCCTTGAGTCCATATAGTCCTGGAGACGTTATGCTGCGTGATCGTGAAATGAAGGATGACCAGCAACATACCCTGTGTGATCAAACCACTCAACCTCGCGATCTCGATATTGATCTTCAGTGCCGGTGTCGGTGAGAAACCTGCGGATTCGATGGGCAATTTGGTGGTTATGTTGTCGTCAAGAATACCAACAGGGTTACCTGTTGCGGCGGCTAGTCTCCTATGACAAGTCAGAAAATGCTACGTATCCAGGTTGGATGAATGACCTCTCTTGCATATATATGGTCCACCATAAGCGATTACGATGCGTCTTCTCAGATCTCTTCATCTGAACTGTGGCATCATCGCGAGAGAGACCATTGGACATGGCCAGCCGCAGTGCCACGCCAGCCTTCGATAGTGTTATTAGGACGATAGTAACAGTTTCAAGAGACGAGATCTAAATAGCTTACATAGACGTACGCATCGTCTTTCCGATCAGAGCATTGTAGAAAGAAAGCGAACAAACCCATGATCTCGATTGCCAACGTACCCGATTTTCGTAGATCACATAACGAAGGTAGGCAGCTGACAGCCTCGAGGAAGTAGGTGGCACCAGGGAATGTTGAGCCTTCCTCCATCTTACCCTGTAACAGTTCACCCAAGGCAAAAACCATGAGGATTTCAATGTAGCAAAGATCGTCAATGCCTGTTCGGTTCGAGTCGTCTTCATAAAAGCTACAGAGCTTGTCAGAAAACGATCTCGGATCGATCAGATGCTGCAGGCTTCCAATAGATGCGAGGACTGTATTGAGTAAGTCATGCGCCTGTTCCTCGCTCGGCCATGTAATGTCGGTGGATGTTGTTCGGTGCTTAAGACCCCCAGGCTCCAGATTGTAAACATTGTCCGGACTGGCATCGCAGATACTGGTAGAACCGACTGAATCCATTACATTCTCAGAGTGTAGGCTTTTGATACGGGACCCGAAGTTGAGGCTTGAAGACATGGTTGGCTCTAGGACGATCGCTAGAAGGCAATAATGAGGCCATGTCACAATGCTCTGGGCGACTGTCAGACCTACATGATGTACCCAAACTGTGGTTCAGTTCTTCGGTGTTCGCTTGTGCTGTAGGGTCCACTGAACCGGCGCTGTGGGATGTAGCAGCTGGAGGGGTGCCGTTGGCGAGGCTCTCTGCAGTCGCGGTCGCGGTAGCAGATGCAAGTTTTCTCTCCAATCCTTCAACATAGCTATTCACGTAAGACACTTCCGTTTCCGGCTCTAAAGTCACTCACGTCACCGAATACAGCTTCCTTCGCCCATTGTCCGCAAAAGTGCATTGGAGATTTCTCTTTGCGCAGTAGCGACATGGCTGATTGCCACAGCACTTGATCTTCCGCTCTCGGCAGGACGCGCACCTGCTCTACTATGAGTGTCGAGTTGGTGCGCATGGCAGACCTTTCACTACGCACGCTTGGGGTGTTCGAGCAACTTCCTCAACCGGAGCAGAAAGTCGAGCTCGTTTGGTTGCGGGCTCAAATGATGTCATAGCTCATACATCATGCTGTGGTAAGATCAGATGGAAAGGACACAAGTAAGAATGCAAGAGTGGACGTATTAGGTCGAGTCTTGTGGTTAGACATGACATTGTCATGACAAGAAGTCCCAAGGCCCTACTGCAGACCCATTTTACGTAAAGGCCGCTAGCTGAACCCGACCTGGATCTGCTCCGAGTTCCTTAGTCCGTTACATTGAACATCAAGCCTCATGACCTCAAAACACAAGTACCAAATTCCGACCCATTGTTGCAGATCGCAAGCTCTACGCGAGCTTCAAAAACTTGTGCACGTTGTCGAGTGCAGCTATAGATGTGAGCACCTGCGTCTCTGCTGTCGTTGCACCGATGTGTGGGGTGCTGATAACCTTCCCTGTTGCCCACAGCTTCTCATATTTCTGCAGTGTCGGAGGCTCTTCCTCATGGCAGTCCAGACCAGCACCAAAAATGTGACCCTCCTCTAAAGCTTCCACCAGGTCATCTTCATTGACGATACCTCCTCGCGCAACATTGATTAAAATCGAACCTTGCCGCATCATCTTGAATTGAGTGGCAGATACCATGCCTCTTGTCTTCGCATTGAGCGGTACATGAATAGTCAGGACATCGACGTGAGGCAGCATGTCTTCCCACTGATTGACCCTTGTATGTGGAATATCAGCCCATGCTTCAGTAGACGCGAAGGGATCGCAGGCATAGACTGAAACCCCAAACGCACCGCTGAACATGCGAGCAACGGCTGTACCAATGTTGCCCATGCCAACAATGCCTATGGACTTTCCAATGAGTGTCATGCCACAGCAATGTTCCTTTCGAACTTCTAACCCTGCTGCCTGTTTTGTGGATATAACGCGTAGCTGTCGCGCAACTGCCATTGTAAGACTGAGGACAAGCTCTGCGACCGATTGTGCGTTAACGCCAGGGGTATTGAGGATGGCAATCCCAAGTTTCTCGCATGCATCTTGGTCGATGATGTCGATGCCAGTGCCTTGTTTTCCGATCGCGCGTAACTTTCGTGTGGAAGCGATGTCGTCCGCCGTGATTGTCTTCTCCCGTATGAGAATGGCATCTGCGTTGTCGCGCCAGTTTTCGATTTCGGGATCGTCGGGTAGTATCGTTGTAAAGAGACGTTGGCTATGGCGGACAGCCTCCTCAGGAAAATTTTCGAGGAGATAGATGTTCTGCTTAGATTTCACCGCACATCTATCGACGTCGTCTGAAGAGGTCTCGGCGTAGTCAATTCGAGAGGGTGCCATGTTGAGAGTTCAAATCAGCCGGTATACAGGTAGTTCAAAATGAAAGTACGATTCAAGAAGCAATTGATAAAAGTGCTTTCTCGATATAAATAATGAAAGACTCGAAAATGTTTTGAGGGACGCGACTCAGAATGTGACTTTTTCCATGGCTTATATGTTAGGATAATTAGATGTGCTTCACACTCCTAGTCGTTACCTAGGTAGCCCGTGGTCGGGTGCGGCGTCCGAGGCGTGCTGAGTCCTTTAGCAGCCATTACGAAGTGCGGCTGTCACATCCGGCGATTGTCTAGCACGCTAGGGGCGTGCGGCTTCAGCATCCGACGTGAACTTGAGCCCTATGTTCTCCGCACACAGATGGCGCCCCATGGGGAAATCCCTAGAGGTTTTCCACCAGCGCAAACAGAGTCTGGAGTTGGCCACACTCTGGAACTATAAGAATCTTAATGGTCAAAATTTCATGGTAGCATCTGAAGTCAAACTTCTTATCCGATAAAGAGATCACCACACCTTACGACAAGTACACTCATTGTGCGATATCTTACCATGTCCGAGTCGATCGAAAAGCGTGGCATCGAGATGGTCGAGGAGGCAAGCGAGAAACTCGAGGGCGGTCTGATTGTCACCTACCACATCGATCCCAAAGATGAGAGAGCTGTTCTGAGGAAGCTTGACCGTGTCATCCTTCCTCTCATGGCTCTTGTTTACTTCTTTCAATGTAGGCTCTTCCCTTATTCTGACCAGGCCTTTTCTAACATAGCAAAAAGACCTCGACAAGCAAAGCATCAACTATGCTGCCGTCTTTGGTCTTGAGGAAGATCTGAAACTGTCTGGTTCAGAGTTCTCGTGGGCCATCTCCATCTTCTACTTTGGTCAATTCGTGTCCGAGTACCCTGCGGCGTATCTGATGAGCAGATTTCCTATCACATTGTTCGTCGGAATCACAGTGATCCTTTGGGGTATCGCAGAGATGTGCTTGGGGGCCACCACCAACTGGACAACAATTGCTGTTGCTCGTTTCTTCCTCGGTCTGACCGAAGGTGCAGTCGCGCCATCTTTCATGATAATCACGAGTGGCTGGTACAAGCGCAGCGAGCACCCGATCCGTATTGCGTAAGGCCCCTAAACCTCCTGTCTACATCGTCCACTAACATGCATACAGCACGTGGGTTTCTATGTTCGG